ATATGTCTTTAGTAAAAAAAAAAATCCCAATAACTGCATAATAATTGGTTTGTGTGAAAGTTATATCATCTACAAACTATGGGATAGATAATGGAATTTACACAGCTTTTACTTTCTGACTGCCATCACATTTCTTGAGGTGCTAAAATACCAGGATACAACAAACACCCCCAAATGACCCCTTTTCAGAAAGAAGACAGACCCTAAGCTATCTGCTGAGAGGCATGTTGAGTCCATGGAAGATTTATTTTTTTTCTAAAAGTTTTTTTTTTTTACACAAAATTGTCACTTTAATGACATATTGCTCACACAAGCCATGGGTAAATGTGGAATTACACCCCAAATACATTCTGCTACTTCTACCGAGTATGGGGGGTACCACATGTGAGAGACGTTTTTGGGCCTAGCTACATACGGGAGTGTAACGGAAGCGTAGGCAGGACAGAACCCACGAAGAAGATGGGGGAAACACACAAAGCTTTATTGAACTCTGAAAGACACTCAATCAGGACAGTTCATGGCACTCCGTGACATGCGGCTTGTAGGGACACCCACGGTAAGTGGGCTCACGGGGACTCAAGGGGACCTTGGCTTTGGCGTCTGGCCTCAACACAGCGTACTAAGGACAACAGGCTCACGGGGACCCAATGGGACTTTAGTTGTGGGGTCTGGCCTAGCACAGCTCCCATCCAGCTTTCTAGGGACATCAGGCTCACAGGGACTCAACGGGACTCCAACTGTGGAGTCTGGCCTAGCACAGCTCCCACCCAGCTTTCTAGGGACATTCTATGGGCCTAGCACACACATCGGGCTCAGGGAGTCTGGCCTAGCACAGGCTTTCTAGGGACATCGGGCTCACGGGGACTCAAAGGGACTCCAACTGTGGAGTCTGGCCTAGCACAGTTCCCACCCAGCTTTCTAGGGACATCGGCTCATGGGGACTCAATGGGTAGCGATGGCTCAAGCACTCAGGGGCATCACAGTTAGCTATACTCTGGGCACGCCATGGGGCAGTTCAAGTAAGGGTAGTCTAGGCGTGTAGTAGGGGCAGTTCATGACCCGGGTGTCTGTGCGCACAACAGGGACAGTTCATGACACGGGTGGTCGGTGCGCACAACAGGGACAGTTCAGGACACGGGTAGTTTGTGCGCACAACAGGGACAGTTCAGGACACGGGGGTCGTGCGCACAACAGGGACAGTTCAGGACACGGGTGGTCTGTGCGCACAACAGGGACAGTTCATGGCTTCTAGGGACACTTACGATAGGTGTCTTGCAGGTGCTCAACAGCAGGAGGCTTCCAGAGGGATAGGCGACTTGCAGACGCTCAGCAGCAGGCAGCTTCCAGGGACAAAGCGGTCAGCAGGCAGTACAGCTTCCCAGGGGCCCAACGATCAGCAGACAGGATGGCTTCCCAGGGGCCCAACGATCAGCAGACAGGATGGCTTCCCAGGGGCCCAACGATCATCAGATGGGATGGCTTCCCAGGGGCCCAATGATCAGCAGATGGGACAGCTTCCCAGGGGCCCAGTGATCTGCAGACAGGATGGCTTCCCAGGGACCCTCAGCAACAGACAGGCGGCCCTCACAGTGGCCAGCTTCTCCAGTGCCCAGCAATCAGCAGCAGGGGCCCTCGTAGCAGCCAGGAACAGCAGCGGGAGTCATGGCCATGGGGTCTGACCTTTGAGGAGGGGGCTCATGCAGAGCACTCAGCAGGGATGCCTGCAGAGGCCCGGGCCCCACCCGACCTCCCACAACCGCAGTGGCTCCAGGGACAGCAGCAGGAGTCTTAGCCGTGGGGTCTGACCTGTGGTGAGGGGGCTCATGCAGAGCACGCAGTGGGGATGCCTGCAGAGGCCCGGGCCCCACCCAGACCTCCCATGACCACGGTGGCCCCAGGGACAGCAGCGGGAGGAAGAGAGCAAGCCTGGTCTCAAGCTGGCCTTTTAAAAGCTGTGCGGGATGCTTCCAGGTTGCCCCGGCAATGGCCAGCCCAACGCCGCATTGCCGGGCAATGAGGCACGTCCCCTTGACAGGGGCCATGCTCTTGAGAGCCTTTGTCTGTCTGAGAGTGCAGTCACGAGAAACTCTCGTGCCCTGCACTGCACTCACCAGGGGTGCGCAGCGCCGGGTTAGCGGCCCCGCACCAGAATCCCTCAGTGGGGTGTCACTTCTCTCTGTCTATATGGCCATAGAGGTGTGAGGTCCGCCACAGGGGTCACTTCCTTCTCATCCTGCGCAGCCTGCCTTCACAGGCTGCGTGAGAGGATGTGAGGAGGTGACGAGGGGCAGGGGGGTGAGGTGACCCCCCTCATCCTGTGCAGCCCATCTTCAAAGGCTGCAACAGGATGAGGAGAGGGTGAGGGGACACGGGAAAGACACAGGCACCGGGGGGGGTTTTGACAAGGAGCAGGCACTCCATGACAGGGAGCCCGAAATCCAATGACCACTTTGAAAGCCTGAAGGTGCATAACTTCCTCATTTCACTTCCTCACTACCTATCAGTTTCGGGGGCCCTGAAATACCAGGATAGCACCAACCCCCCCAAATCACAGGTCTGATATACAGGTTTGACCCCATATCTGGCCAGCTTATTGGGGAGAAATAGTTTGAATGCAAGGTGGCCTAAAAAATTAATGAGGGACTCATCAACACAGATTTTTTTGGTGGGGAGTATAGACATCTGCACATTTTTGGTTAAGGTGATTTACAAGGGGATGAATTTTGTGGAGCCGGTCAAATTCAGGGTCACCCCAAGGATGACAGAGTGTATTGTCATTGAAATGCATAAAACACATTATACTCTCATATCTATGCCTGGCCATGGCAGCAGAGAACACGGCATATGATGAATCGGGTCTGTGGACAAATACAACTGCAATTAATTTTTCTTATTAATGCCCATGTGGAGGCTTAGGCCCAAAAAAAACTTAAATTCAGAAACTGTAATAGGTTTCCATGCAAACAGTCTGGCAAGGTTTGAATTTGGGTTGGTGGTGATAAACTGTTGTGCATATAAAATGCTTTGATCCACAATCAATGCATAGAGCTCTTCCGTGAAAAACAGCTCCAAAAAATCAAGGGGAGGAGTTAAATTTGCTGTTTCCACCTGAATTCTGGGTTGGGCAGTGAATGGGGAAGTACAGGGTGCTGCAGAATTTGTGGGCTGCCAATCAGGATTTGCAAGCACATCCGGAAGGATACTAGGGGCTCTACGGGCCTGTGTGCAAATTTTTGGTGGCGGGGACACTACTTGTGCTCACCACCCCACCAGCTTGTACTGCACTTATGGGACTCGCCATGTCACCAAGTGATACTGCAGTGCTGGTATGTGAAAGACCAGGATGTACTAGGCCGCTGGTGCTCGCCATTTCACCAAAAGGTAGTGCGGCACTAGTACTGGGCACTCTGCTGCATATGAGAGTCATCATGCGTTTGTATCACCTCAGCAACCCTGAGAAACGGGGTTGGGTACACCTGACCTTAGCAGGAACCTCTTCTCCGTCATCTGAGTGATCTGTCAGGGTGCCGCTGCTGTCTACAGATTCGTATTCTGAGCCTGATTCTGTCAGGGAGTCTTCCCTTTCGCTCTCACCTGACATGCTCAGAATCCTGTAGGCCTCGTCACTAGAGTACCTTTGCTTGGACATTTTGGCCACTAAATTTATAGGTACCTAGTGCGACTCACGGGAAAAAGAGAGCACCTGGCTGTCAGGGACTGCTTGAACCGCTACAATAAAATTTACCGACAAGTGCTAACAGAGATCAGGCCTGATTCTGCCAACACTGCGGTTTTGTGTGTAATATATCAAGTGACAGTTATCTACTGACACTGCACTTGCTGGGGGAGAAGGGGGGGCGTAGGGGATAAAGGCAGGTGCTGGCAGGTGTCGGGGCTGATCCCGCTAACACTGCATTTTTGGGGATACTATAGTAGTGTGTGAACGCTGGTATAGCGCTAATCTGATCAAAGATATTGATCCGCTCAGATACTATACTAGCAATGGAGGTTTAGAGTGCAAGTGAGCGTGTTCCTGGCAATAAAGGGGTCAAATGTGATTACTGGTGTACTAGCGGCAATCTGACGCTATCTGGGAGGGGCGCTAACTGACACTAATGCTATCTGAAGTCACCAGTGACACTAATACAGTGATCAGTAAAAATCTGTTCACTGTAATCAATGACACTGGTGACAGGGCAGTGAAGGGGTTAACTGGGGGGCCGATCAGGGGGTTAAATGTGACCTAGGTGTGTTCTAACTGTGGGTATGTGCTGTTTTACTTACGATTTGTATGTCTTCTCTCTCTGGGAAGGAATGTGTCCAGGCAAAGAAGAATGACATCATATCCTGTCCTGTGTAACTGTCAACAAAGGACAGGATAGGACAGGGACCGATCATCCGATTTCAGCCGGACATCACTGGCTGAAACTGAATGATTGATCCCTCGGGGATCAAATGGTGACAGCCGCGAGTTGGCGGGGGCGTGCGTACACCCCCCCTGCCCGAGAAAAAAAACCTTGGGAGTGTGGAGCACGTTTAAAAAAAAAAAGCCGTGCCACCCTGCCACCATTTTAATGCAGTGGCTGTTCGGCAAGAGGTTAGGGGACGTTTATCGGGGCTGCAGTTCCTCTAAACTCCACAAGATGGGGATCTCATTTCTACTACCCAGACAGGACTTCTCTATGGAATACAGATAGGAAGTGATGTCAGGTACAGTCAGGAAGTGATGTCAGGTACTGATAGGAAGTGATGTCAGGAACAGACAGGAAGTCATCTGGAATAAAGACAGGAAGTTCCATATGGTGTGAAGCAGATCGGAGACATTGGTGGATTTGGCAGCAGAGGAGGTAATAAGATGTTATGTTCTATTTACACCCAGTAACCCCCCCGTCATGTCCGTCCTCTTCCTCCATTGTCACTGTGATGTTTTTTTTATCTCCAGCAGATGATGATACACACATGTTGATGATACACATCAATATTTAGAAGGACACAAGGATCTCTACAAGGACGTCATGATGGACAATCAGCCGCCCCTCACACATCACCGGGTAAGAGGAGACTTTATTGTAAAGGAGAGAGCAGTACGGAGGATCCACCTAGATCCCCCATCATCTGATAAACACATAGAAACAATGGATTCAGTCAGTGTGTGTGTTTCCTACAGATGGATCCAGTCATGGGAACCCACCAGAGAGATGTCCCCGTCCTCTGTATTCCCGGGATTCCACACAGGAAGGTCACACCATCCCTCACCATCATCAGGTAGATGACAATTATTGGTAGTTGTGATTTATACACAGCATGTTTGTTACAATGAATGTTTTATTATATCTTTCAGAGTGGAATCCTCGGGGATGATAATATTGATGTTAAAGAAGAGTATAAAGAGGAGGATGAGGAGTATGGAGTGATGGAGGAGTTTTCAGAGGACACAAGGATATGATGGAGCCACCTAATACCAGGAACCCACCAGAGAGATGTCCCCGTCCTCTGTATTCCAGGGATTCCACACAGGAAGGTCACACCATCCCTCACCATTACAAGGTTGGTGGGATGGAGCATCTAGAACATGGACTTGTAGAGACGATGTGTAAATATTTTTTTTTTGTGACCTTATATTTTACAGATGATATTTCTCTCATTTCCTTGATTTAGAGTGGAGATCCAATCGATATAGAATTTGAGGTGAAAGCAGAAGAAGAAGAGGCGTATGTGAGGGATGATCAGCAGTCTATGGAGGAGGATGGAATAACGGGGACATTTATAGAGGAGGACACTCCTACAGAGATCAGCACAGGTGGGTCATTTATTATTATTATACAGGATTTATGGCGCCAACAGTTTGCTCAGCGCTTTACAATATAATGGGAGACAATTCAGCAACAATACAGTTCAATACAAGAGGGTTAAGAGGGGGCCTGCTCCTTGGAGCTTACAATCTAGGAAGGAGGGGCTAGTGGTACAAAAGGTAGTAACTGTGGGGGATGGACTGGTAGGAGGAGTAGAAGATTCCAGTATTAGCTGAGGGCAGGATAGGCTTCCCTGAAGAGAGAGGTTTTTCGGACATTGCTGAAAGTGGGCAGAGTAGGTGATAGTGTGATAAATTGGGGTAGAGAGTTCCACAGGATGGGGGAAGCTCTGGAGAAGTCCTGGAGACGAGCATGGGAGGAGGAGACAAGGGAGCTAGAGAGTAGGAGGTCTTGCGAGGAGCGGAAAGTACGGCTTGGGTGATATTTGGAGACAAGATTGCTGATGTAATTTGGGGCAGCGTTATAAATGACTTTATATGTTATTGTTAATGTTTTGAATTTTATCCATTGGGCAATGGGAAGCCAGTGGAGGGATTAGCAGGGAGGGGTGGAGGACACTGAATGGAGGCCAGTGGAGGGATTGGCAGAGAGAGAGGGGTGGGAGGGAGGGAGGGGTGGAGGACACTGAATGGAGGCCAGTGGAGGGATTGGAGAGGATTGGCAGAGATTGGGAGGGGCAGATACAGAACGGTTAGTAAGGTGGATGAGTCTAGCAGCAGCATTCATGATAGACTGAAGAGAGGGGATAGCCTGCGATGAGGTCGGCCAATGAGAGGGAGTTACAATAGTCAAGGTGAGATATAACAAGGGAGTGTATAAGTTGCTTAGTGGTTTCCGAGGTTAGGAACGGGCGTATCTTGGAGATGTTGCGGAGGTGAAGTCTACAAGATTTGGACAGTGATTGGATTTGGGGCTGAAAGGACAGATGGGAGTCTAGGATTACACCTAGTACCCTGGCATGAGGGGAGGGACTGATGGTTGTGTTATTGATCTTGATGGAGAAGTCAGGGGAGGGGGCACGGGCTGGAGGGAATACTAAGAGCTCAGTTTTGGAAAGATTGAGTTTGAGGAAGTGGAGTGACATCCATGCCGATATGTCACTTAGTAGGTTAGTGATGGGAGGTGAAGAGACTGAAGGGGTGAGGTGAGGAGTAGAAAGATAGATTTGTGTGTCATCAGCATAGAGATGGTACTTAAAGCCGTGGGAGTTTATCAAGTGACCAAGGGAGGTGAGGTGTAGATGGAGAAGAGAAGGGGTCCAAGGACAGAACTTTGAGGGACCCCTACAGAGAGAGGGAGTGAGGAGGAGGAGGAGGCAGAGTTATTGGTAACACTGAAGGAGCGCTGCGATAGGTAGGAGGAGAACCAGGAGAGAGCAGAGTCTCGAAGGCCAAGAGAGTGGAGTTTTTTGAGGAGGAGGGGATGGTCAACCATATCAAAAGCTGCAGAGAGGTCAAGTAATAGGAGTATGGAATAGTGGCCATTGGTTGGGATTAGTACGGAGAAGTGGCCATTGGTTTTAGCAATTAGTAGATCATTAGTGAGGTTTAGTAGGGCAGTTTCAGTGGAGTGTAGAGAGTGAAATCCAGACTGTAAAGGGTCAAGAAGTTGTTGTCAGTGAGGTCGGAGCTCAGGTGATGTATTATACATGGAGATCATATCCCCCCCTTATGTATTATACATGGAGATCATATCCCCCCTTATGTATTATACATGGAGATCATATCCCCCCTTATGTATTATACATGGAGATCATATCCCCCCTTATGTATTATACATGGATCATCCCCCCCTTATGTATTATACATGGAGAGATCATATCCCCCCTTATGTATTATACATGGAGATCATATCCCCCCTTATGTATTATACATGGAGATCATATCCCCCCTTATGTATTATACATGGAGATCATATCCCCCCCTTATGTATTATACATGGAGATCATATCCCCCCTTATGTATTATACATGGAGATCATATCCCCCTTATGTATTATACATAGATCATATCCCCCTTATGTATTATACATGGAGATCATATCCCCCCTTATGTATTATACATGGAGATCATATCCCCCCTTATGTATTATACATGGAGATCATATCCCCCCTTATGTATTATACATGGAGATCATATCCCCCCTTATGTATTATACATGGAGATCATATCCCCCTTATGTATTATACATGGAGATCATATCCCCCCTTATGTATTATACATGGATCATATCCCCCCTTATGTATTATACATGGAGATCATATCCCCCCTTATGTATTATACATGGAGATCATATCCCCCCCTTATGTATTATACATGGAGATCATATCCCCCCCTTATGTATTATACATGGAGATCATATCCCCCCTTATGTATTATACATGGAGATCATATCCCCCCTTATGTATTATACATGGAGATCATATCCCCCCTTATGTATTATACATGGAGATCATATCCCCCCTTATGTATTATATACATGGAGATCATATCCCCCCTTATGTATTATACATGGAGATCATATCCCCCCTTATGTATTATACATGGAGATCATATATCCCCCCCTTATGTATTATACATGGAGATCATATCCCCCCTTATGTATTATACATGGAGATCATATCCCCCCTTATGTATTATACATGGAGATCATATCCCCCCTTATGTATGTATCCCCCCCTTATATTATACATGGAGATCATATCCCCCCTTATGTATTATACATGGAGATCATATCCCCCATATCCCCCCTTATGTATATATACATGGAGATCATATCCCCCCTTATGTATTATACATGGAGATCATATCCCCCCCCCTTATGTATTATACATGGAGATCATATCCCCCCTTATGTATTATACATGGAGATCATATCCCCCCTTTATGTATTATACATGGAGATCATATCCCCCTTATGTATTATACATGGAGATCATATCCCCCCCCCTTATGATCATGGATCATATCCCCCCCTTATGTATTATACATGGAGATCATATCATATTATACCCCCCCTTATGTATTATACATGGAGATCATATCCCCCCTTATGTATTATACATGGAGATCATATCCCCCCTTATGTATTATACATGGAGATCATATCCCCCTTATGTATTATACATGGAGATCATATCCCCCCTTATGTATTATACATGGTGATCATATCCCCCCTTATGTATTATACATGGATCATATCCCCCCCTTATCATATCCCCCCTTATGTATTATACATGGAGATCATATCCCCCCCTTATGTATATCCCCCTTATACATGGAGATCATATCCCCCCTTATGTATTATACATGGAGATCATATCCCCCCTTATGTATTATACATGGAGATCATATCCCCCTGTCACAGCTGCCCCCCTCTCTCAGCCCTGTCACTGCACTGCTCTCTCTCTGCCGTCTCTCATCCGTGCCCCTCCCCCCTCCTGCAAAGATGAAAGACATTCCTAAGGCAAGCTTGAGCCACACTTGCTTTGGGCCCCCCCGGTTGCCTAGGTAACTAGGGGGGCCCAACCAGTTTTAAGAAGCTGATGCAGAGCTCCAGAGGTATTCACCACTGGGTAGCTGACGGAAGGAGCCCGAGAGCTGCGGCCGGGACCTTTCATGGCCAGGCGAGGCAGAGACCCAAGTCTGCCTAGGATCCCCCTTCTCCCAGAGCTGGGGAAGACTGACTGCTAGACTCCAGGGATCCGTGAGTACAAGCTCTCTGCCTGCTTCACTTGAACGTTTCTTGTGCTGACCTCACACCAACCCCCCCTGTTGGATTACTTGCTACAGAGACTCTCCCTTGGCTCTCGGTGTTGGACTTTAAGTGTGTTGGTCCTTCCGTGTCGCCCGGACTGGCGTATTCACCCTCCTTATGAACTCCCCTATTCGGTGACTGTCATCTGTTTGCCTCATTAAAGCTTTGTGCGTTTGCCATCTGCTCTGTGTGTTCTGTCCTGCTTACGCTCCGTCACACTGGTGGCAGCAGTGGGATCAGGACACTGAGGAGATGGCAGACAGCGAAAGCCAGCGCATGGGGGACCAGGCCCGGCCCAGCGAATACAAGAAGTGGACTGTGGCATATCTGCAGGAGAGGGCCGAGCAACTGTCCCTTACCTGGAGGGGCCTTGCCAAAGAGGTTCTGGTCGCAGCCATTGAGGAAGCTGATCCCCAGGATGCCCCAGCAAAGGAGGAGAGCAGGCCAACCCCAGCCTCCCCAGCATGCCATGACCCAGGGCCCAAGAGCCCCTGGCTTACTTGGGTGGAGGAAGAGATGGCCCTCCTGGGGTCAGACGCCACGGCAGGGGAGAAGCGAGAGGCTATCCGGAGGGCGCATGAAAGAGAGAGAGCCAAGGGAGCCACCGTGAGCTAAGCTGTCTTTCCAGCCCCAGGGCCGCGTGTTACCCCCCCTCCCCGGGTAAGCCGCAAGGACTTTAAACCCTTCAATGAAGTCGCTGGGGATATGGAGGGGTTCTTTCAGGACTTTGAGCAGCAGTGCCAGCTCATGGAGATGCCAAGCACGGATTGGATATGGCACCTCGTGGGTCTGCTAGAAGGGGGTGCAGCTGCTGCCTACCGCACTCTGGACTATGTGGATGGCCGGGATTACGCCCGGGTCAAACAGACTGTGTTGGAGTATTACGCGGGTGACGCTTCCGTGATTTGACCTGCCCTTCCATGCGGAGCCGTCCTATCGGATGTATGCGCACAAGATATTGCAGTCCTGTCGGAGGTGGCTAGAGGGGGAACAGGCCCACACTGCAGAAGAAATCATCCAAGCATTTCTAAAGGAGGAATTCTACTACCAATGTACGACGGAGGTTCGCAGATGGGTAAGAGAGAGAGAGCCCCTATCACCCTTGCAAAGGCCGCTGCCCTGGCTGACGAGATCCTAGCCATCAAACCACATTGGAAATGGGGGGCCCCTGAGCTGCCAAGGGCCCCGCCCCCTCACCACCTCTGCCAAAATGGGCCCCCCACCTACCACT